AATTTCTATCATTCCATCAAAAGTAAACTTTAAAATACTTTTCCATGCTAATTGAATAGAAGTTTTTAATTCTTGTATCATATTATACTGTTGAGAATTTCCAGATATAGTTCTTGCTAAAATTCACCATAAATTTTCAATAGGTTTCAAGTCAGATGAACATGAGGTCCAATCCAAACATACATACTTTTTTTGGGTAACAATTTTTATTTACTTTATGCAGTGTGAATCACCACATTATCTTGTTAAAAAATCTGATTCTCAGTAGGGAAACCTTCACTAAACTTGATTAAAGTATCTTCTAAAAGATCTTTGTAATTTCTTGCATTCATTTTAGTTGTAATAAATTATATCGGAATTTTGCCCTGAAAACAAAATGTAGTCCATACCATAATTGTACCTCTTCCAATGTTGCGACTCATAGCAATGCTATCTTTTTTAAAAAACATGCAAATAATACTTAAAACCATCAGGCCCATCTAAGTTTAGCTGTTTTTTTTTCAGAAAAAATAACATTTTCCCATTCTGCATCCCATGTCACATGGTCCTTAGCAAACTTAAATCTTGTACTTACAGTCTAGGCAATATTAAGAAATAATTTTGATAAAAATAAAACTTAAACAATAAAAATAAAATTATTTACATCAGGGCATATATAACTGCAATAGTTTTATTTTGTTTTTTTTTTTAATTTAATTTTAAAGAAAAATATTTATTACTTATTTTAACTCATTCCAATACTAACTCTATTAAACGAATTTTGCTATCTTTCAATTTCTCCATCCAAAATAAATGTGACAAAAGTGAGAAACATCTATGTTTTTATTATGAAATATAATGTTTTGTCAATCCCAACTTGTTTTGTCAATCCCAACTTGTCTTCTTGTTAAAAGTAATTGCTATTAAAAACTTTTTCTTAACGTCATTAAAAATAAGCATTTTAAACTATATTTTTTGGAATTTATTTCAGAAAAAGTAAAACTAATAATTTTAATGGTTTATCATCAAAATCATTCATTGTATATCAGATATAGTCATTTGATATTCATTGGATATCAGATATAGTCATTTGTGATCAAAAAAAGGCCTAACCTACAAACAATGAGATATAAGTCAGATATAAATCCTAAAAAAAACTGTCAAGTATGAAGGTTTGCTTTGCACCCTTCATCACACCCTTCATCGCCTTTGCACCCTAAATCACTTCCTTCTATCAGCCTTCTCACAACCTTCATCACCTTTGCACCCTAAATCACATTCTTCTATCAGCCTTTTCACATTATTTTTTAAATGGTGTGCAAAGACTAATGAATGTTGAAGTTATAATGACAGAACAATTGTGAGACTAATTTGAGTTTAGCTGTCTCATCTTCTGATCGTAGTGTTGATAACTATCAATGAAAGGAAGATAACCATCTTCCTTTAACATTTAAAGATTCCAATAGTCACATGCTTGGCCTGGGCATTAACATTTGCACCTGGGCATTGCACTTGCTTTGAATCAGACTATTCTTTTATATGCTTTTGTTTACCACCATTTCACCCTATTGCCTTTCTTTTTGTTCTATATCGCTCTCCTTTATCTCAAGACTCTTTTTGATATTATTTCTGATTGTATCGAACAAGCCCTTTCTCTTTGTCCTTCAGCCAATTTCGTTGTTGTCGGTGACTTTGATTCTCATCACACTGAATGGCTTGGCTCTAGTGTTAATGACTCTGTTAGCGTTAAGGCCCACAACTTTTACCTTTCACAATCTCTAACACAATTAGTCAAATTTCCAACTGGTTTTCCAGACAATTCAAATCATTTAGCTTTTCTACTTGACTTATGCTTTGTTTCTGATCCTAATAATTACTCAGTTTCTTTACATTCACCCTTAGGTGCTTCTTATTACGTTTTTTTTTTTTTGTTTTTTTTTAATCTTTGCTTCCAACAAGGCTACAAGCAACCACTAATTAGAGTTGGAAGTTACTGGAAGAGAAAAGATGAAAATTGTAGAGCAAGATAACAATTGCAGACAACTTAAAAGTATGCAAATTATAAGAATCAGGATAACAAAATGAAGGAAGCGAATCCCAAAGAACTAATGTTCAAGGAAAAAAAACAAGAGGAAGAAGAGTTTTTGGAGCACTTAGAAACAGTAGCAGAAAAAGGATAATATTTAATTGAATGAGGAGTAACAAGAATGAATTTTAGTAGATGGCAAAAGAGGCGCTAACTATTTAGAGCAATGGCCATTATAGTATTTGTAAAAAAGAAAAAGAGAAGCAACATTACGATGCTGTGATAATGGTAAGAGTTTGGTTGCAAGAGCAAGTCCATCTATGTTTACAATACATTTTTGCATCTTGTCTAAAAGGGAAAGGGCATCATTAGAAGAAATGTCCCAGATATGGCAACAGTGTTCCATACAAGGCCAGATTTGAGGTTTTAAGAGATAGAGAATAGAATCCGAAGTAAGAAAGTGTCGAGCTTGATAAAGAGATACAACTTTAGTAGGTGCTGTTTTTGCAACGGATTTATTATATGGTTTTCAAGAAAGATTGGAAGTAAGAGTTAATCCTAGAAGATGAAGAGTAGATGACTCATTGAGTACATTACTGTTCATAAATATAGGAAGATCTAAATTATTTGATAACTCTCCTGTTACTGTGTATCAGGTAACATCTTTAAGATTATTGAATCCTTGCTTACCAATCATAGTATTATAATGGTGTCCTCGATGGAAAGCACTTGTTTCATATCCGGTAACTTCAAGGTTCTATCCTTGACCCTATACCTTTTTTTACTTTACATTAATCTCCCAGAAATTCTCACATCTAAGGTAGCATTGTTTGCTGATACCATTTATTCTTGTCTAGATAAGAAGCCAACACTCTCTGATTGCTTGAATGAGTCATTTGAGCTTAAAAAAGATCTCACTTCTGCAACTCTCAGTGGCTGGTGAACTTTAACTCAGATAAAACTTGAATTTTTTCAGCTAATCGTAATTGCAATAATCTCGATCTTCCTATATTTTATTGGTGAGTGTTAAAAATGCTGAAGTCCAATAATGTAAACTTTTGACCAACTAAAAAAAAGTGCATTTTCCCCTGTAGTAAATTTTTGTTAATGGTTCAATAATTTTTTTTGAAGGTAAAAAGTAAAATCCTCTTTCAATTTTCTATTGTCTTCAACCATTATCACATCATCATAATGTTGCTTCTCTTTCTCTTTTCTACTAATACTATAATGGGTACTGCTCTAAAGAGCTAGCGTCTCTTGTGCTATGCCAATTAATTCTTTTGCTACTAGCCATTCAATTAATTCTACTGAGACTGTTCATAAGTGCTCCAAAAGTTCTTATTCATCTAGTTTTTTTCCCTCGAACCTCAGTTCAGTGAAATTTGCTTTTTTTATCATGTTTTCTTGATTCATATAATTTCCAATCTTTGAAGTTGTCTGTTAATTGTTATCTTGCTCTATAAACTTCATCTTTTCTCTTCCAGTAACTTCCAACTCTAATTAGTGGTTGCTTGTAGCCTTGTTGGAAGCAAAGATTAAAAAAAAAAAAAAAAAAAAAAAAACGTAATCAGAAGCACCTAAGGGTGAATGTAGAGAAACTGAGTTATTATTAGGATCAGAAACGAAACTTAAGTCAAGTAGAAAAGCTAAATGATTTGAATTGTCTGAAAAACCAGTTGGAAATTTGACTATTGGTGTTAGAGATTGTGAAAGGTAAAAGTTGTGGGCCTTAACGCTAACAGAGTCATTGACACTAGAGCCAAGCCATTCAGTGTGATGAGAATCAAAGTCACCGACAACATCGATATTGGTTGAAGGACAAAGAAAAAAGGCTTGTTCGATACAATCAGAAATAATATCAAAAAGAGTCTTGAGATAAAGGAGAGCGATATAGAACAAAGAGAAAGGCAATAGAGTGAAATGGTAGTAAACAAAAGCAAGTTTCCAGACCAATGGGTGAATTCTTGCAAATGTTAATGCCCAGGCCAAGCATGTGACTATTGGAATCTTTACAAGTTAAAGGAAGATGGTTATCTTCCTTTAACTCGTAAAGGAAGATAACCTTCTTCCTTTACGAGTTATCTGTTAATTGTTATCTTGCTCTATAAACTTCATCTTTTCTCTTCCCGTAACTTTCATCTCTAATAGTGGTTGCCTGCAGTCTTTTTGGAAGTGAAGATGTTAAAGAATAAATTAAAAATATTATGTTAATTTTTTTTCCAATAATTTATATCAGTCCTTTATAAAATAAATTTAGATTGCAAATTCTTTTTTAGAACAAAGTGACACAACAAATCCTTAAAAAAAGATTAAGTAATTATCCTTAAACATTCACCAAAAAGCCTAGATCTTAACTTATTGATAATTATGGGCAATTTAAAATCTAAAATCTCCTTTAAAATGAATAAATAAAAAAGCTCCTTTAAAATGAATAAATAAAAAAGAAAATCTAAAAGCTCCTTTAAAATGAATAAATAAAAAAGAATTTTATGAGTATCCTAGTGAAACTTGAAATTTAATTGGTGCTAATTTGTGTCAAAGCTTGTAACAAGCATGCCAATGCATTTAGAAAGAAGAGGTGGTACAACAAAGTACTTGAATGAAAATCAAACGTGATATTCTTGCATTTGCAATAATAGTTATTGGCAAAACATTATACTTCACAAAACTTCTAGAACAAAAAAAGATGACTTAAAGTCTTACTCAAACCTTCTATCAACACTTTTTAAGAGTTCATAACAAACTGATGGAACCATGGAGATTTTGCCCGAATATATACTGATTTAAATAACATTCTAGAAAATTTAGTTTTCATTGTTTCAGAAACACATAAAATTGTCATTAACGCATTTGTTTGCATTAGTGACATAGATCTAATAAAGTTTTGTAAAGTGTAAACTAATAAAATATATGTCCAGAATTTTTCATGTATAATCTTATAATTATCTAGAGAGCTCATTATAAATGACCCATTAATATAAATTATTATTTTTAGTTGGACGAATTGTATTTGAGTTATTCTATGATAAAGTTCCAAAGACAGCTGAGAATTTTCGATCATTGTGTGTAGGGGATAAAGGAATTGGGAGAAAAGAAAAACCACTGCATTTTAAAGGATCTATTTTTCACAGAAGTAATTTGATGAAAATGTTTATTAATTTTATATAATTTTTTTATTCCTTTTTAGTATTTGTTATTGCAAATTATTAAAAAAAATAGTTAACCAATTTTTTTAGTTTAAAAAATATCTATATATTATCAGTAATTTTGATCCCTGCAGATGCTTATTAAATGTTTTTCAAATATAGTTTATAAAAAAAAGCAAAAAAAAAATAAATTTTACAAAGAGTTTTTTTTTTCAGCTTTTATTGCTATTTTGGTACATTATATTTTCTAAAGTTTTAAGGTTATTTTATAGTTATGAGAAAATTTGAACTTGATTTTTTTTTATTTCTTTGCTTATGTATTTAACATTTTATATTTCAGTTCTTTTTAATATAACTCTTCACTTTTGATATTTTTATGAGACCAAGCAAAAATAGTTATGTTTTTTTATGAGACCAAGCAAATGTAGTTATGTTTTTTTAAAGCAGAATGCAATATGCACATAACCTTTTTTTCTTTCACTATATTATTTTTTAGTCATAAAAGATTTCATGATTCAAGGTGGCGATTTTACAGATTCAAATGGCACTGGAGGAGAATCTATTTATGGAGAGAAGTTTGAAGATGAAAACTTTTATTATAAAGTAATAAAAATGTTTTGTTTTTTTCCTTATTCTAAACATATTAACTAAATAATTTGAAAGTTTTTATAAATTATACAGAATCACATAAGATAATGGTTCATGGTTGTGGTCAAAGTTTCAAGATTCTTTGAAATATTTTTCTTGTGACATTGATTATTGGTCATTTTCTTAGAATTAATTAATTTTTAGCTAAGTTTTTTATTTTATTTTTTATATATATTTTTTTCAATTATTTTTTATTTATTTATTTTTTTTATTTTTATTTTTTATAATTAAACTATAAATCATAAAATGGACTTTAAACTTGGACTCAACTCAGATTTAAGTTACAAATTCAATGACATTAGACTAAAATCAAATAAGATTTGAATCTCAACTTGGTTTTAAAGATTTGTGACCTGAATTAAAGTTCAACTTAAGTCCATGATTCCTCAAAAATAATTTAGAGAAGCAAATCAGTCTTCTTAGAATTATCAGAATATTACAATTTTATATATACTCGGAATTATCAGAATACACCTTTTGTTTGTTCCATGAAGTGTTAAAGAAGTAGTGAACACTTTCCCATAATTGTTCAGAAAAAACTCTAAGAGACCTATTTTATTTTATTTGCAGAATTTAGATACAATTAAGTAGTAACAAATCCTAATATCATATTCCAAAAAAATTATTGCAGACCTTTAAATTTTCAATATTACTTTAAAAGCTTTAATTCAGTCCTTAATTATTGCTTGAAGCAATAATTAAAGACTGAATTCACTTCACTTCAAACATACTCCAAAATATTTCAATTTATTTTGTAACTTATCATCAAACAGTGGGTAGCACATTTCAGAACTTTTTAGCAAAAAATTTCCATTAAATTTTCCCTTATGTAACCAGTCTTTTGCATTTTTTTTTATAAATCTCCTTCATTTCACTTTTAACAAAATCTGCTTTATGTTATCAAAAACATAATTGACTGTCCCCATTTTATTAAGCTCCGATAAAACAAATCTGCTTACAAGAAATTTAGAGGGGTTTCTATGTAATAAAGAAGGGTTAAACCCAGTTTTCTCTACCATATTATTTACATATATAAGACAGATAAGTTGAGCTGCTACTTGGTGATATCTCTGTCAGAATTTGACTTTTGAAGTTGCATACCTTAATGTGTCTACCTTTTTCAATAGTATTTTCAAAATGTTTTTTAAACAATATTTTGTATATTATGTTGAAATATCTTTCTAGAATATCAGAAGCTACCAGAAGAAATGAATCATTTACTAATGAATCCTTGCATCATTTTTCTAGACCATCTTTATAAGAAGACATATTATGTAATGTTATAACATAACTTACTTTATATTGAATTTTAACTAGTTTACTTTAGAAGAAATAGTTTTTGGTGTATTTCAAATTGCAAAAAACTTAAAATTGCAGGTATAAAGAAGTGAAAATTTCACCACTACCGCATAATTATGTTAGAGATGTAATTATCAGGAAAAGAAATACCCAGCAAAATGGTACCAAAATCTACCATGGAAAAGATTCAAAACTTGCATATACCAATTGCAGAACATGGAGTACAAAAATACAATTCTCTACTCGGTTTCTCAATTGAAAAATGTTGAAAGACTTGTGGTAGTCTGAAAAATAATTTTGTCTTTGTTGGTCTAATAGACACAGGTGTAACACAAATATTTGCTACAATTGCCAAAAATAGAACAAAAAATTTTTTTGAAAGTTAATTTCTTTCTTTCATTAATATGAAAGACACTAACACATATCTTCATAAACCTTCTTCCAGAATTTATTAACACTTGCATTTAGGTCTTATTACAAGCAAGTTCTTTTACTATTCGTTAACTGAACAAAATCAGATAAGTCTTTCATTATAATAACCTCACTCAACCAAACAACCACATAATCCTCAAACAAAATTTGTAGAATATAATTGGTATCTAGACTTTCTTATAGTTCATTCAGTGTTCCAAATATATTGTTCTAAAAACTGCTTAGTCTTCATCTCTTAACTTGAAACAAAAACAACTCTCTGATATCAATACAAAAATTATTAATTTAATTGTCTCATATAAATACATTATAAAGTTTATGTTTCTTTTTTAGCATGATGCGGCTGGTCTACTCTCTATGGCTAACTCTGGTCCTGGAACTAATGGAAGTCAGTTTTTTATTACAACAGTACCTACTCCTCATTTAGATAACAAGCATGTTGTCTTTGGAAAAGTTTTGAAAGGAATGGGTGTAGTAAGAGAACTAGAAAATGTTGATAAAAGTGGTGAAAAGCCTATAAAGGTAATAGAATGTTTAAAATAAAAGTTTTTATTAACTATTTATAAGGCTTTTATTTTTACAATTGTAAGTCAATACTTAATGAAAGTTTTGTTATAAATATTTTCTTTAAGTGTTTTTTTTTTAAATTGAGTGCAGAGACTTTTGGAATGGCAGACGCTTTTTTATAAAAAAATTTTAAAAAAATTGTTTCGTAAGTCCTTATGAAAGTTTTGTTATAAATATTTTCTTCAAGTGTTTTATTGAAATTGAGTGCAGAGACTTTTGGAATGGCAGACGCTTTTTATAACGAGTTTTATAAATAAATTTAAAAACAAATAAATAAATAAAATAAAAAGAGTGAAGAAAAGAAAAAGAAAGAAATAAAAAAGCAAAAAACATAAACAAAAAATTAAAAACCAAATCCTACAATTAAAAAAAAAAAAAAAAAAAAAACAAGAAAAAAAAAAGAAGAAGATTAGAAAAATCCCAATTCAAAAAATAGAAGCATTCAAAAATGGAAAGTAGTTAAAAAAAATTAAAATAAAATATTTAGGGAAGATATGTGTTTATTAGGACATTATGTTATTAGGACATCATGTTATTAGGACATTATGTTATAGGACATTACATTATCTATATGTGTTTGCTTAGTATTATCATAGGATTGCCTTTTTTATTTGAATATTTTCATTTATTATGAAAACCTTTTTTATTTGAATATTTTCATTTATTATGAAAACCTTTTTTATTTGAATATTTTCATTTATTATGAAAACCTTTTTTATTTGAATATTTTCATTTATTATGAAAACCTTTTTTATTTGAATATTTTCATTTATTATGAAAACCTTTTTTATTTGAATATTTTCATTTATTATGAAAACCTTTTTTATTCGAATATTTTCATTTATTATGAAAACCTTTTTTATTTGAATATTTTCATTTATTATGAAAACCTTTTTTATTCGAATATTTTCATTTATTATGACACTATACTTTTCATGACTAAATGTTTGTCACGTTTTTATTTGTGAGTGTTATTAAAAATTTTTTTGTTTATTGTTATTTTTTAATGAAATATTTTTAATATATTTATTATGTTTATTATGGTTATTGATATTAAGATTATTATATTTATTAAATCATTATTACTTTTCTTTTGCGGTAATTGTTTTAGTTACATGGTAAATTGTTTTAGTTACATGGTAAATTGTTTTGTTTTGTCAGTAAATGTTTTTATTATTAATACTATTTTATGGTATTTACTTAAGATTAGTTTTAAACTATTTGTTTAAGACCTCAATTTATGATCTTTTATCAAAATATATTGATTGATTGAAATATATTGATTGATTGTAAATGTAAGGGCAATCGCTATATTTTTTTTATACAATATTTATTCATGTAATATTATCTTTTGCCGATTGTATTGAATATGTCACTATATACTTTTTAGGTATGTTGCATTGAAGATTGTGGTGAGATTTTACCAGGCGAAAATGATGGGTTTATTCAAGATGATGGAACAGGTGACATTCTTCCTGATTCTCCTGAAGATTCAGACGTTAATTTTAGTAATGTACGGTATTAAATATTTTGATTTTTTCACATTACATTTTTAAAATTTTAATATATTTAAATATTTGATTTAAGAGTCGATTGTGAGTTGCTGTTTTAAATATTTTAATTAAACATTTTAACATATTTAAATGTTGAATTTATTTGTGTAGCAATTGTTACATATTTAAATGTTGAATTTATTTGTGTAGCAATCGTTACATATTTAAATGTTGAATTTATTTGTGTAGCAATCATTACATATTCAAATGTTGAATTTAATTTGTGTAGCAATCATTACATATTCATTACAAAAAGAAAAAGCTAAAACCAGAATCTTGAATTTTAATTCAGGTTTTAATTTTTTTAACAATCATAGTATGAATAACAAATAATATATTTATTGACAAAAGTTTTCTGAGGTTAGAATATTCTGTCAACTTTCATTGTTTAGGTTAAACAATCTTTGCTTGTATTTGATCTGGATTGCATAATCCCTAATATTTTTTTAAATATAAATAAAGTATTATGCAATCTTGATATTACTATTGAGATTTTTTTTCATGATTGGACAACTCAATGACTTCTCAATGGGTCCAAAGGTCATTTTTTGTATTTTTTTTTTTTTTTTACACTTTTTTTAAAATAAGGGGAGTATTCCAATTATGTAAATTTTTATTTTTATTATTGTTTGACTAAGTAGAAAGGAATATAAATACAATACCTAAGCATAATTTGTTAAAATAATTTAGTAACAAAGATCAAAAAATTAAAAAAGTTGTGTTTTTCAATCATTTTTAATATATTTGTATTCTATTTAGTAAAATGCCTAGTATGTTGAAAAATTTGAAAACCATGTATATAATTAGATTCTAAAAAATACTAGTTGTTTTTATAAATTTTTTGTTTGTAAAAAAAGTGTTCTTTTCACAAACAGTTTTTTTGTTAGTTGACCTTCTGCTCTTATATTTATTTGATAGTGTGATTTTTTATCATTGTGTGATATATTGATCAAAAATTGACTTCCATTAGAATTAGTGGGTTGACTAAGTTTCTTGCGTTTCCTCATCTTCACCCTTGTACAAGAAAAACACAGAAAAATTCAACTTTGTTTCTGATATATTGAAAGGATGCATGTAAATGGTGATATTCCAAAAGGTGCCTATATTTGGTTAGCCACTTATCTTAAAATAATCAAAAAAAAATTTTTGTATAATGTCTGGTGGTTTCACCAATATACCTAACATTACAGCTATAACATACAAATTTATGTACAGTAATAATAAACAATAGTAATATTAGTAATTAAGTTTTAATGTAACCAAATTTTTTATGTATACAATTGCAAAAAATTTTAAAAATTGAACCTGATGTCAATTGTGATCAAAATGTGTCAAAAAAACTAAAAAAGATTGTTTTTCTTAAAAATGTTACTAAATTACATAGACCATTCGGAAACATACATATAATCACTCAAATGTCTGCAGTCTAAGTGATGTTTTTGGGATATATATATATATATATATATATATATATATATTATTATTATTATTATTATTATTATTATTATTATTTCAGAATATAACGCCACCATGGGTGATGAATAATTTACAGTAGTTGTAACAAAATTGTATTTTGTTACAACTACTGTAAATTGATTATAGGTAAAAAGTTAGTGAACATCATTATGGTTTAATTAATAGTTTAAGAATGCTTTTGTTTTTTCGGACTCCAATTAACTTTTGTAAAAGCAAAAAGCTAATCGTTTCAGCAATTCCAGAGTTAAATAATTGAATGTGTTTGATTATTATGCTTTTCTTAAGGTCAATCAATTCTTTAAAGAATGCACAAAATATAATTTTTCTCATTACTGATTCGTAAGGGCCATAATAGAGTTCCATTGAATTGCATTGAGCATTCGTGATACTATATCTTTTTATTATATCTATTAATTGCGTTATAAGGTTATCATATGTACCATGGACAGGAATGTTATGCATCTCATTATAAAGCAAAAGAATTATTTCACTTGTGAATCTGTTCTTCATTATTCGTTCAAACAAGAAACACTTAGCAATATCAATTTTTAATTCTGTGGGTTCTATTTTTAGTGCAGCCAAAAAATGCGTACTTCTGGTTTTTCTTTGGATACCCATAATGCCTTTTGCCATATTTGATTCAAGTGTTTGATATGGTAGAATTTCACTCTTGTCAATCTTGTTGAAAATCTTTCTTTGGTTCGGAATATATATATATATATATATATATATATATATATATATATATATATATATATATATATATATATATATATATATATGTATATATATATATATATATATATATATATATATATATATATATATATATATATATATATATATATATATATATATAGATAGATAGATAGATAGATAGATAGATAGATAGATAGATAGATAGATAGATAGATAGATAGATAGATAGATAGATAAATAGATATGTCATTCCTTAAGAGAGAGATAAACTTATGCTATCAACCAGGCCAAATCTGTTTACTAGATCTATTTTGATTGATAAAAATAACTCAAACAGTATAACTATATGAATCCAGATAGAATAAAAAAGACAGCGGTTCTCAACTTTTTGATGATCTAAAGTAAAAAAAATCAAGTATTTAGTGCTAGTGCTAAAGCAAATTAAGTTTTAGGTGTTTTAAAACATACCTTTGTTAGCAGAGAAATGAAAATCTAGAAAAACCTTTACACAACTTATGTCTGTCCCCATTTAGAATATACTATCACCACCTGTTACCCTCAACTTAAATAAGGCAATTCAAAAAATTCAACATTGCTCTACAAAAATACCCCATGAATTGAAACACTTTTACCACAAGGATAAACTAAGCCTAATATCGCTTAGTGACAGAATGAAGCATGCTAGTCTTATCCAATAATTCAAGTTTAAAAATATATCTGATTCAAATAATTGGTATGTTAAACCATTATCTACTCCTCCTATCTATAATCATGGCAAATGCTTTCGTTGCGAAATTAATTGTAACTGCCTGATTCAATATAACTTTTTCAACAATCAAGTTGCAAATAATATGATCTCTCTGCCAAGCAAGTATATATATATATATATATATATATATATATATATATATATATATATATATATATATATATATATATATATATATATATATATATATATATATATATATATATATATATGTATATATATATATATATATATATATATATATATATATATATATATATATATATATATATATATATATATATATATATATATATATATTAGGGTGGTTCAAAAATGGGTCATTGTAAAATTTCAACAAGAGTGGAAGCTTATAAGGTGCCCAGATATTGGTTTTATATATAAATTTTTTTTTTTTTTTTTTTTCGTTAATGTTCAAGGGTGGCCCACGAGCCCTAAACATTTTAATTTTGATGATGATTGTTGATTTTTCGGAAATTTCAACGCCAGTGGGCCACCCTAAAACAATGAAAAAAAAAAAAAAAAAATCATCAGTAAACTCAGAATGAGTAATAGAAACAAATAAAAATGCACTCTTAATGAAATTTTTTACGTAAAAAGTCTGAATGAACCTGAAAAAATTAGGAAAACCGAATATTTGGCTTTTTCAAGCTTTTTTTTTTAAGTTTCTTATGACGAGATTTTTATCATTTTTTACAGTTAAACCATCAAAGGTTTTAGATATCATTCCACAATATTGCATTTTATATATAAATTTGAGAAAATATTTAAAAAAATCATTTTTTTTGTTGATCATGGTACAGTTTTGTTGAGTAAAAAGTCAAATAATGCTGGAAGTAGCATTTGCTGCGAGATCGTTCTTCTTGGATCTTTGTTTACTTCTCTTGTAGACATGGTTAAACAAGAACATATCTTGCTTCTTCTCCTCCTTATTGGATTTCATAATACGTTCCTGAACTAATTTGATAGCTCTCTCAGAAGAATTATTGACTACATCTAGAGATTTGATAGTAGTCTCAAACTCTAGATAAAAATCATTCAGCTCCCAGAATTGTGAAGAGGTTTTAAGCCACTGCAACTCCCCCTTCCCATGGCCAATCTTATCAAAGATCAGCCAAGATTGGTTTGTAATAAGAGATGCTAGGGATGGAGGCTGATTTTGGGAGTAGTTTAGTGAGTGAATAACTTTCTTATCTACTTCAATACGCTCCAGTTTGAAGACATTGGGTCTGTCCAAATGAGTACTATAGAGTTTCTGAGCTAACTCGTTTCTATCAGGGTAATTCTTTTCAGCTAAAGCAAACACAACTAGAACTGGACTTAAGTACCAGTCATGCCTTGATATTGATCGAACTACTTCAGTAGCTCCAGGAAGATTTATTTCTATAAACCTCTTTATTTGCCAGAGGGCTTTTATGTCCTATCAAATATTTAAAGTAAATAATATTCAATTGATATAGTTTTCATTTTGTAATTTTTATTTTTATTCTAAACCTTTTATAACTTTTCCTGATATGGAGAAGCAGCTGGCAACTCAGCTCTAAGGAACCATTGAGCATAAAATATACTGACAAACATAGCCATATCAGATATTTCCTCTTTGTTCTCTTTAGTTAAACCAGGAATGTGATCGAGTATAAGGTACATTTTTAGATAATACAAGGCTTTAGCCATGAACCTGGCATAGTGTACAGGTCCAGGCATATGAAACTTGAACCTCTCCTCCTTAGTAACAATCATCAAAGAGAGCCCAACTAACTCCTGGTAATCTTTTCTTGATTTCCCGTCCTGTATTTTATTAATTATTGTTTTTAAACATTAAAATGCATATAAAAATATGTTACAGAATAATATACTAGAATGAATGATTCATTTTATCTTCTTGTATGTCTTATTGTTGATTAAATCTCTGTAGAACTGTTCAGATTCCTGTTGCTGTTGATTTTTCCAGGTTTCAGGTGGAGTTTCAATCCTTTTCAGGGGCAGTATATCTTTCTCTAGATCATTCCAGACTAA